GGTAATTGTTGTTTTAGAAGGGGTTCAAAAATTTTTACTTTATTAGAATATTACATTATTAGTACAGTAAAGATTAGGGTTTGGTTGGAATCACATTTAGTACTGGTATTGGGTATTCTACTACAGTTATGATTGTAAATGTTTTATTATTCCAGATTTCTTTGTGGGGCTGCATGTTTTAAATGCTGTGTTTTATAAAATACCCCTGATAACTTTCTGCAGTTATATCTTGGCAGTATTGTAAAGACATTGTAAATACAATAAAGAACATGGGGCTTTACCTCTCAGGATGTCTTCATCACCCTAATGGCTGTGATTGTATTTTGTCATTGTACCCCCGGGTACCTAGCCCATACCAGCCCACATTGTGTGGTCTGAAAGAAAATGGTTCAGAAATGAATAAGTGAGGAGAAAATTTTCCTTACTAGTCTATACCTCCAAATTCTTGATTTCAAAAATACAACCCTTTGATGGCTACCATTTACTTTTTGGTGGTACCACTTACTTTTTGGCTTTCTTACTCTGATTCACCATCTCCTCCTCTCCTCCAGTTCCATAGCGACTTCCAGTTCCCAGATGCTGTTCCTTTAGTTTTCTCTGTTAGTTCTGTTGTGTCCTCATTTCATGGTCCAGTGGTGAAATCATTCTTTCTCAAACACCCTTAATTCCCTTGCCCCTCTCATCTCATCATAATGTGTCACTTATATGGCAGAACCCCAACCATCTGTCTACTTGCTGCCTGCACCCAAACAGCAGACGGCTGCTAGAGAAAACCCACATCTGTGTGTCTATTCTCACTTTAATTTTAGGACTGCAAATCTCAGATGGGCATTTAGCACTAGAGACAGCCTTATCCTTCTGTGGTAAGCTTTCTTTAACAGCCTCTCAGTGACTTCTCCACATCTTTTACTTCTCAAAACCTCCATTGCCAATGCTCCTCTCTGTTAGCTTACATTGTACCTTAATGAAATTTTAGATGGAATCAGATGTGGGCCAAAGTACCCTATCTTCTCATAATCACATGTGTTAAACCGTGTTGGTACTCACATCGTCTGCCTTCTGTCTTATGACAATGCAAGTACCCTGACAATCTAAGATCAGCCTCTTGTGTAGATTCTCTCCCCTCTTGCCTGCTGCAATCATTAATCCTTCTTTGTATTGCATTATTAGTGTCTCCTTCCCTACTACATTATTCTTTTGGCATTTAATCATGCTTAAATATTCAGTTTAAAACAGCCCAGTTCCCTTGATCCCATGGCTCCTTACACTAGTGTCATTTCTCTGCTACCCTATGCAAAAAATGCCTTGAATTAATATTTATTTTTCTTATCTCTTCTCACTCTCTTATTAGACATTCTTTTGTATAGCTGCACAGAAGCTGGTCTTAACAAGGTCCTTAATAATACCCATCTTGCTAAATCCTTTGTTCTTACCTCTCGCTCTCTAACTACTGGTGTCATTAGACCCAAGTGACCTCTCTTTGAAAGAGTTCCTTTTCCTCATTTTCCTGGTACAGCTGTCTCTTGGTTTTCTTCCTCACTGGTTAGCCCATTTTTTGGGCTTGCTTCTCTAGATAGCTGGGTCTACTCCTGGGGTCTCCTGTACCTTCTGCTTCAGTGGATGTCCTCTAGTTCTGCACCTTTTAATGCCAGCTCTGTGCTGATGAAGCCCAAATTTATATCTCTAGTCCTGATTCCTCCCCTGACTTTCAGACTCACAGAAGTGCCTTCCTAAAATCTTCACTTGGATAACTAAAGAAATTATAAACTTAACTAAAATTGTTCTCCATTTCTGCCCTATCTCAATAAATTGTACCATTATATACCAGTTCCTCAGACCAAACACTTAAAAATGATCCTTGGTTGCACAACTTGCCTTATACCCCACATTCACTTCATTGGCACATCATGTTGGCGTTGCTTTTTCAATATATCTTGATTTCAACAACTTCTCTCATTTCCAGTTATAATCTCAATCCAGTTGCTTGCATTATTGGATGGTGTCCAGTAGCTGGTCTCCCTTGGTTTGACTTTGACTTTTGTCCTTGTTAAATCTACAGGGTTTTAAGAATGATCTTTTAATGGTAGCATCTGTTTATATAACTTATCTGCTTCAGTCCTCCAATGACTGAGATTAAGTTCTTATTACTGAGGTGACTATTTATTACACAGATCTGTGATATTCTATCGCATAAATGTTTTTCCTTAGACGCCTTATGAAAAGCAATGCATAGATAGGACTTAGTGAAGTGTTTTGTCTTCACAGTGTTGTCTTAATTTTTTAAAAATTAGTAACATTTAAAAATTGGAGGATTTTACATTAGATTTTTTTTGTACTGAATAACACTAGCCTTGCATTCATTACTCAACAGGATAAGTAGTGGCTGGCTTTCTTTACATGAAGTGTGTGTTTTTCAGCTTGCCATAGTCTGTCTCCTCCACCACTCCCCCAGGTATCTTGTAGTCAACTGATCTACTTAGGAAGATGACGAGGCACGGCTGTGCCGTACAGTAGGTCATCATTCACTTGACATATTATTTTTATTTTCTAAAGCATTTTACTTTTTATTTTTTAACATGGGGCTTAAACTCAGGAGCTGGAGAGCAAGGGTCGGTCACCCAACATACCAAACTCCGACAAATATTTTTTTAACAGTACTTTGTGCTGAGTATAATTCTAAGCCCTGGAGATAAAGCAGTGAATACAACAGAGCCTTGATGTCATTGATTTTGCATTCCTTGGGAGAGAGGGTCAGTGTGTCAGTAAACACATAATGTCAGGTGTTGTGTGAAGAAGAATGAAGCAGGGAGAGGGCATATAGATTGGTGAAGGGTGCTGTTTTAGAATGTACAGGGCAAACCTCCATATGAGAAATTGACATTGGAACAGAGGCTAGAATATAGGGAGGGATGAGGCTCTGGAAATCTTAGGAAGAAACTTTGTGGGGAGGGGTCAGCAAGTACAGAGGTCCTGAGAGGAGAATATTTTGATGTGTCCGAAGGATGACAAGAATCCTTGTGTAACAGCAGTGCAGTGAATGTGGAGAAGAATGGCAGGTGGAAGGAATTGAGGTTGGAGAGGGAGGCCAGATCTGCATGGTAATGGGTGGTGGGGATCTCAGTTCATGTGGGGTTTTGGATTTTCCTGTGAGCAGGGAAACAACTGAAAAGTTTTAAGTGGGAAGTGATGTGAAATGAGTTATTTTAAAACAACCCCTTTGGCTTCTGGCAGTGAATAAATTGTAGCAGGGACAAGTGTGGAAGGTGGGGCAACCTGTGTGGAAGAGCTGTAGAAGTGAAGGGGGGTGGTGACTTCACTAGATGGAGATAACTGTGAAAGGTGGGAGTTATGCTTAGATGAGACATTGAAGGTCGGACTTAATTTTTTTTTTTTAAGATTTATTTATTTATTTGACAGACAGAAATCACAAGGAGGCAGAGAGGCAGGCAGAGAGAGAGGAGGAAGCAGGCTCCCCGCTGAGCAGAGAGCCCGATGCGGGGCTCGATCCCAGGACCCTGGGATCATGACCCGAGCCGAAGGCAGAGGCTTTAACCCACTGAGACACCCAGGCGCCCCCTTAATGGGTTTTCTGATGGTTTGATACAAGGCGTGAGAAAATGAGAGGAGGGGTGGGTGGGTCACTTGGTTAAGTGTCCAACTCGATTTGGGGTGAGGTCATGATCTCAGGGTCTTAAGATTAAGCCCTGCATCGGGCTCCACACTAGGCATGGAGTTTGCTTGAAATTCTCTTTTCCTTCTCCCTGCTCGCTAGCAACATTGTAAACACTGGGAGAGTTCCTTTTTAGACATGTAAAACCTGAGAATCCTGTTTGGCAACCAAGTAGGGATAGAGTATAAACTCTACCTAGAGGATAAGCTTATAGCTCTGTAATACAATCTGAGATTTTTAAAAGACCCAATCCTTTAGTCCTATACCACTAACAACAGTTCTTTGAACTCAGAGACATTGTTGTTTTTTTTCCCCCCTCTGTCTGTTCATAACATACAGTACATGATATGGATTGTGTACTCAGTTATGTTTTTGTTAAGAATCCACAGAAATGTTGCCATAGCTCTGGCTACTGCTGCAAATGCCTGTTATTCCAGTATATTAGGCTTCTATGTACATATTTTAAAAGATTTTGTTTATTTGACAGGTAGAGATCACAAGTAGGCAGAGAGGCAGGCAGAGAAAGAGGGGGAAGCAGGCTCCCTGCTGAGCAGAGAGCCTGATGCCAGGACCCTGAGATCATGACCTGAGCTGAAGGCAGAGGCTTAACCCACTGAGCCACCCAGGCGCCCCTTCTATATACATTTTTATAAGAATTATAATTCATCAGAAACATTCTTTTAGTAGAGCTGGTAACTTAATTGAATCAGCCAAATGATATTAAATTCAGTTTTTAAGGTGAGTCTAGCGAACTACTGAATTTGTTAATGTCTCAGTAGTATTTTAAATGACTGAGGGTGGGAATCCTTGTATATATGAATGATTTTTTCTTTACATTGAGGCTGAAGTGGAAATATGCTTTTGCTATCTCTTTGAGTAATTCTGTTTGAGAAGACTTCACTTTTGTGGCCTAACAGTGTGTAAACAAGCATTTGATAATTTTTGAAGTAAGTCTTCTATAAATCTTGCAAACTTATCATCATGTGGTAATTACTGTGTATTTACTGTTCACTTGTGAACACAAGAATACTTTGTAAATGCGAATTACTACTTTCCGGTATTAACATTAACCTTATTTTGCATATGAACATACTAAATGCAAGTGTATTTAAATAGTCTAAGGGCAAACAATTAAAGGTGGAGGTAGCATTAGAATATGGTGTTTTAAGGATACGCAGTAGGGAAAGTACGGGTGTATGATAGCACTATTTAGACAAGCAGGATGACATTTCATTACTGTGTTCAGACTAGCAAATAGTGATTTTGCAAGAGGAATGTAATGAAAGGTTTTGCTTCTACTCAAGGGCCTAATTATTCCTTTCCCATACAGGAAGATTTTCAATCAATGACTTATGGATTTAAAATGGCTAACAGTGTGACAGACCTTCGAGTCACAGGTAAAACATTTATAAGATGATATACAAGTTTTGTATTTGTATTTGTTTCCTGTTTAAACTCATTGTCTCTCTTTCTAGGCATGCTAAAAGATGTGGAGGATGACATGCAAAGAAGAGTAAAGGTAGATTTCTTTTCTCTTTGCTTTGGTATAGGATTTTCACATTCCTCTAAATGTCATTAACTTTAGCTAATTACAAACAGCTAGTGTAGGGAGGGCCACCAACTTGCTTTATATATGCTCTGCCTTTTTTGCAATTAACTTGAAAACAGCTACAGCAGTTGTTTCTGGTGAATTAATGTCCCTTTCAAGTACTGAAAATTTAACCTTGAAGATTTTTCAGTATTTTTGCCAGTGTTTTAGAATTATAGTATGCTCCTTTAAGAATAGCAATAATCTGGAATTTTAAGTTCCTCAAAGGTAAGGACGATCTTCTTCAACAGCTATTACAAAGTCTGCAACACAGTAGACGACCTCAGTATCCCAGATCTGGTGAAAGACTTCTATGAATGAAGTCCTTCAGCCAGATGGCGCTAACAGTTTGGTTCTCACAGAGATTTTTTAAAAAGGGAAGAAGTTATATTTCTGCCGTTCTTCTGTGCTTGGATAACACAACATGGTTGTCAAAGCAGTTTTATATTATTGCCTTAGCTGATATTTATAATTAAGCAGTGAATTAGGCAATAAAATGTACTCAGTGCCCTAGATTTAGGTGAGGAAAATACAGCTTAAAAGAGTTAAGTAAACTGAGTGTACTGAAGGGCATGCCACTAGGAACGGCAGCGCAGGGCTAGAACCCAGGTCTTCTGCTGTATCTTGTTGTAGTAACTGCCCTACAGTTGTCAGAATAGTCAGTCATATTGTTACTCATGCAAGAAGTTTTGTATATTAGTATAGAACAATCTGTATTTACAGTGTGACTTTATGATGTGATTTGTGTAAAGGTTACTATTTTTTTCTAACGGTTAGTTTTGAGAGCTTTGAGACTTTCAATTAATACATCCTTTTTAAAAAAGAAAGCAGTACCATGTGCCATGTACTTATCTTATTTCATTGTTTTGCTTTTGCTGTTTTTAATCCCTTTTCTTCTGTTTGATCCTAATAATTTCTATCAAAATGGACTTTTTATATATAGTATTAATAGGAAAATAAATACTAGATACAACTTTCTTCTTCCAAATATATTTCTTAAAAATGGATTCCTATGTACTCAAAAAATAGATTTAGCACTTTGTATATTTATAAGCTAATATTTTACAAGTTTGTGTTTATTTTAATTCACGTTTTTTAAAATTTTAGAGTACTCGAAGTCGACAAGGAGAAGAAAGAGATCCAGAAGTTGAACTAGAAGTAATTGAACTTATTTTCTGGTAGATAATATCAGAGAAGTCTACCTCTTAATGTTGTAGTTTTATGAACTGCGTTATAATTTATGGAAGCCCTTTTTAAGGTATTTCTTTAAAAGTTGGACATTGCAAGGGATTTTATTTCCCTTGTATTTGTTTTGATAGAATAATAATACTTGATTTCAAAACTCTTCAATATTCCTGTGAGGTAGGAAGAAAAATTATTTTTTACAGATGGTATATCAAAACGTGGCAAAACTCAAGAGCTTGGACAATATGAAAAGTACTAATCCTTTGTCGAGAGCCTTAATTTTCTGACTCTGCTTAAAGCATCTTTTCATCAATTCTGTTTAAAATGCTAATTAAATTAGTTTTTGAGATGATAGTCTAACTTCTTACTTAAGAAAAAATCCATCCCATTGATATAGGAGCTTTACTTTATATTTCTATTTCGGTAGAACAGGCTTTGTTTTATTTTCTGCAGCTCAATTTTCAGGCATTTAAAAGACTGTAAGTGAAGGTGTTTGTAATATAGTAAGTTATTAACATTGAAATTTAGGACTTAAAATACTATATTTTAAAATGAAATTCCTTTGACAGACTTTGCATCTTTTAACTTTTAGTCCTTTCTTATTTTTTAGCACCAACAGTGTTTAGCCGTATTCAGCAGAGTGAAATTCACTCGAGTGTTACTGACAGTGCTTATAGCCTTTACTAAGAAAGAGGTAAGAGCATTTAATCTATTTCAGTGGGCTTTTGGTGGGGGGCAGGACGTAGTGTGTTATTGAACTAGTTCTGAGACTTTTCTAGTGAAATGCCTCCAATCACACATATACAGCATTCAGCATTTGGTATATTTTATGTGTATTATATTAGAGATATTTAGAGTTATTAGAGATATTTATGTATATTAGAGGTATTAGATAATTTCTCAGAAAGTCACATGAATTTACATTCTGCTCCATAACATAACTGTGTCTGTTGTTGAAATAGAAAAATATTTTATATTACTTACTAGTGGTATAATAATAGAAACTGAATTTGCTTGTATGTAGTCCTGTTTTGTGGATTGAAAAGGAGAAAGCAAAAATGGGAATTTTAGGTAGACCTCTTCTTTCATTCAGTTCAATAACTAACTGTTGGATTTGTGTAGAACCAAAAAGCCCTAGATGGTAAATATTTTCTCTTCATGTGTATTTGCATTAATTTAAGTCAATTACAGACTAATTTGTGGATAATTAGAAAGTGGTGAGTAGAAATCCAACCTCTACCATTGATCTAACTTCTAAGTCTCTTTTTTCCTGTGTGTTTTTTTTTTATTTTCACATTTATGAATGGCACAGTACAAATGTTGAAATTTTCCAGTTGACTGCAACTCAGCTTTTAAACTATAAGATGAACAGAACAAGCTAGAAATGTTTCCTATCATTTTTTAACGGCTCTTACAAGAACAGAAATGGATTAAAAAAAAAATTCTATCCTAACAGGATCTGAGCATCTTGTATTAAGTGAATAGGTTGTGAAAACCGATGTCATTATGATATTTAATTTCATTATTGTTTATAGGATTTTCCTATTTAATGTATATCTTTCAGTGAAAGAATATGTAAGAATGTTTTTGGTGATTTGTTTGCTAGACCAGTGCTGTTGCAGAAGCTCAAAAATTGATGGTTCAAGCAGCAGATCTTCTTTCTGCCATTCATAATTCATTGCATCATGGCATCCAGGCTCAGAATGATACTACAAAAGGAGGTAATTGTCTGTTTTTACTTCTACTCTTTTTCCTTACCCATCCAGATTATATAGAGTTTGGTTTGTTCTAAATTCATGTGTCAATCCATCTGTTTGGACCTTGGAATGTTTTACTCCATAAACTTATATAGTGTTTATGCTTTCTTTTAAAGATATTATAGACCAAAAATTGTACTATAAAACTTGACCGTTTCCTGTATCTTACTGTTTAGGCTCTGAATATTTACTGTCAAGTGATCATTCTGTGATGTCAGCAGTACATTCTTTTTTAATCACCTCTCTCCTTTACTCCTTTGAGAGATCATCACCTCAATTACACAATATTCCCTGAATACTGGGGCTGTACCCTCTGTGGTCTCCTTGCACTCATACCTCTTATTACAGAATTTTTTAGTACATCATATTATAGTTGTTTTACCTGTTTGTTTTTCCGTGACAATATTTTAGGCCAGAAACTGTCTTATTTGTGTATCTCTATGGTGCTTAGCACATTGTTGACGGTAGATTTTATTCATGAAATTTTTTTTTAAGATTTTATTTATTTGACAGAGAGAGAGTGTGATCACAAGTAGGCATAGAGGCTGGCAGAGAGAGAGGAGGAAGCAGGCTCCCCGCCGAGCAGAGAGCCTGATGTGGGGCTTGATCCCAGGACCCTGAGATCATGACCTGAGCTGAAGGCAGAGGCTTTAACCCACTGAGCCACCCAGGTGCCCCTCATGAAATATTTCTTAAAACAAAAGGAATAATGTATGTTTGTTGTATAAGTTGCTGAGTTAACATATTATTTATTTTTCTTTTTAAAGATTTTATTTGAGTTAGAGCACAAATTGGGGGAGGGGCAGAGAGAGAGGGAGAAGCAGGCTTTCCACTGACCAGGGCACCTGACACAGGGCTCGATCCCAGGATCCTGGGATCATGACCTGAGCCAAAGGCAGACACTTAACTGACTAAGCCACCCAGGCATCCCCTGAGTTAACATTTTAACTCATATGTAACAATTGTGATTCTTAAAACTCATTATAATGAGGTATTTATATTCTCTAAATTGTACACTTTTAATAGATGAATTGAATGTTAATCATATCTCAGAGTTGTGATTAAAAGAAGATGGAACAGTGTTTTCAGAATTTGGGTCGGGGGATGGTTTGCAATCTTGAATCCTAGTTTCAAACTATCATTTAATTGTGAAGAAAGATAATTGTAGGTAAAGTCTCAAAATTAATCTCCCAAAGCTTTTAAAGATATTACTGGTATATATGCTCCATTAAAACAAGGTACTAAGGGGATTCTGGGGAAGATGGCAGAGTAGGAGGATCCTAGGCTCACCTCATTTCACAGATAACTTTATAATACCCACATCAGTGTAAATAACCAAGAAAATGACGTGAAGACTGGCAGAACAGACTCTCCATAGCTAAATATAGAGAAGCGACCACATGGAAGAGGGTAGGAAGGGCAGAGACATGGTCAGAAGCTAAACGGACCCTTGGGGCTATCTGCAGGGGTGAGGAACACCAAGGATACAGAGAGGGGAGAGAAGCAGACCCCACATGGAGGCATGAGGGACCTATGCAGGAAAGATGAATCCCCATAACATTTGGCTTTGAAAACCAGAAAGGTTTAGCTTATTGCATTCTTAAAATCAGTGGGTCTTAACACCCAGAACTTTGAAAGTCATTAGGTTTAGCGCTGAGCTAGAGGGCAATAGGAAACTGAGTCCCTGTCTTTCAAGAGGCAACATAACAACCCTGCTCGGATATAGCATAGAAGCAGCAGTTGTAAAATTTATTTGCTTTGGGGGGGGTGATTTCTAATCTTGAATTAGAAGCAGAACAAAATTTATTTGCTGGACTCAGAAGTGTGCTGCAGGGGCAGGGATCTGTAAGAGACTTTTCTAAAAGCAAAAGAGCTGCTAGGTGCCATTTTCCCGGCCTACCCAGCTGGAAACAGACACCTGTGGGAACCAGTGCTGCACGCCTCTTCATCTGGCTTACTAACAGCATATCCCAACCCCATGCTCTTCAGACCTGCCCCCTCCAACACAACCATTGCAGGAGTTTTCCCAAAGCCTCTCTATTACCATACCACAGCAGACTGTCACAAACCTTGCTAACTCTGTGTGCCCCTACTTGTATTCACTTGCAGACCCACCCCCGCTAACACATTCTCAATTGGAGTCCATCCAAAGTGGCACTGCAAGCATGGCAGTGTGCAGTCATCCCCAACAAGGATCAGGGCCCCGCAAAGTGACTCTTATCCTGGGGAGAGGGCAAGAAACCACACCCTGATCCAACTGCAGCCCCACAGTGGGTTGGGGGCACACATAGGGTCTGACTACAGGTGCTACCCACCAACAAAATGCTCAGGGGATGACACAGGGAAAGTGGCCTGCAGTATTTTGTGACCATGGCTCTGGCAAATGCCTAGTCTGACCCAGCTCCAGCCCAAGGCAGCACCGGACTGTCCCACAAATAACAAAGGACCAAACTTTGCCCACAGAAGGCAAAGAGAGCCATTGCAGATGACTGGACTAAAGGCAAACATGGCTCAATCACAGCAGTAGGGTGCACATAACACACATAGGAGATAACCCTAAAGTACCAGGTTCTGGTGAATGGGAGACATTGTATTATAGGTCACCACAGAGCCTCTTCTTAATGAGGTCACTACTTTTTTAAAGATTTATTATTTATTTTGGGGGATGGACTGGGGAGAGAGAACCTTTACAGACTCTGCACTGAGGTGGAGCCCACTCAGGGCTCAGTCTCACGTCTCTGAGATTATAGCTTGAGATGAAACCAAGAGTTGGACACCCAACTGACTGTGCCCCTCAGGCATCCCTTATAAGGCACAAAAGCTATAAAATCAGTATATCTTTAGAAATTAGTCAAGGGTTTCACCAAATAAAAGGATGTAAAGTAGGACACTACATATCTAAAATGGGGAGAGGAGTAAAAGTTTAGTGCTTTTAGAATGGCTTCAAACTTAAGCAACCATCAAATTAACATGGACTGCTACATATATAAGTTGTTATATGTAAACCTAATGGTAACCACAAATCAAAAACCAGTAATAGATATGCAAAAAATAAAGAGAAAGGAACCCAAATATATCAAACTATTCCAAGAAATAATAGAGGAAAGAAAGCTTCACCAAAGAAAGCCAACAAACCATCAGAGATGAAAGCAAGATAATAGAATTACAAAACCAACCATAAAGCAAGTAACAAAATAGGAGTAAGTATATACCCATCAATGATTACTTTGAATGTAAATGGACTAAATGGACCAATCAGAAGATATAGGATGGTGGAATGGATTAAAAAAAAAACAAGATCCAGCTATATGCTGTCTACAAGAGACTCGTTTCAGACCTAAAGGGACCGGACACATGCAGACTGAAAGTGAAGAGATAGAAAAATACTTATCAAAATGGAAGTGAAAAGAAAGCCAGTGTATAGCAGTACTTAAATGAAACAAAAGCAACTTTTAAAAAAAATACTGCAACAAGAGCCAAAGAAGGATACTACATAATCATGTAAGGAACAATACAACAAGAAGAGACAACGATTGTAAATATTTATGCACCCAGTGGGAGCACCCGAAAACATAAAGCAGCTATTAACAAACATACAGGAAGCAATCAATAGTACTGTAATAATAGGGGACTTTAACACCTCACTTACATCAGTGGATAGATCATCCAAACAGAAAATCAACAAGAAAACAGGTTTTGAATGACACTTTGGATCACATGGATCTAACAGATATATTTGGAACATTCCTAAATAAGCAGAATGTACATCCTTTCCTCCCCTTTTTTTTCTTTTTTAAAAGATTTTATTTATTTGAGAGAGAGAGAATGAGTGAGCAGGGAGGAGAGGGATGGGGAGAGGGAGAAGCAGGCTACTGGATGAGCAGGGAATCTGACATGGGCTGGATCCCAGGACCCTGAGATCATGACCTGAGCCAAAAGGTAGATGCTTAGCCTACTGAGCCACTGAGGCACCCCAGAATGCACATTCTCTTCAAGTGCACATGGAACATTCTCCAGAATAGATCACGTTAGGCCATGAAAAAAAATCTCAACAAATTCAGAAAGATCAAAGTCACATACCATGCATCTTTTCCAACCACAATGCTATGAAACTAGAAATCACAAGGAAAAAATCTGGAAAGAACACAAATACAAAAAGTTAAGTAACAGCCTACTAAACAATGACTAGATCAGCCAAGAAATCAAAGAGAAATTAAAAAACACATGTAGAAAAGTGAAAATGAAAAAAAATAGTCCAGAATCTTTTGGATGCTACAGAAGTAGTTTTTTAAGAGAGAAGTTTATAGCAATACAGCCCTACCTCAAGAAGCAAGAAAAATCTCAACCCAACCTTACACCTACAGGAGTTGAAACAAACAAAACCCCAAAATAGTAGAAGAAAGGAAAAATAAAGGTTAAAACAGAAATACATGAAATAGAAACTTTAAAAAAATGATAAAGAATGTAGGAGCTGGGTCTTAGAAAAGGTCAACAAAATTGATACACCATTAGCCAGACTCATCAAAAAAGAGAAGGGACTCTCAAAATCAGAAATGAAAGAGGAGAAATAATACCACAGAAATAGAAAGGATTATAAGAGAATTATATAAAATTATATGCCAAAATATTGGGACAATCTAGAAGAACTGGATACATTCTAGAAACATACAAGCTACCAAAACTGAAGCAGAAAGAAATAGAATATTTGAACAGATCAGTTACCAGCAGTGAAACTGAATCAGTAATCAAAATGTTCCCAACAAAGAAAAGTCCAGGACCAGACGGCTTCACTGGTAAATTCTATCAAATATTTAAATAAGAGTTAATACCTATCTTTTCAAACTATTCTAAAAAAACAAAAGAGGAAGGAAAACTTCCGAACTCATTCTATGAGGTCAGCATTACCCTGATACCAAAACCAGATAAACATACTACAAAAAAAGAGAATTACAGGCCAATATCCC